CTGGGGTAAAGAAGACCGAAGTGGCACTGAAGTATGGAATAACCAAAAGTACTCTCACAACCATTCTGAAAGCCAAAGACAAGCTGCAGAATAACGCGAGCCGCTTCGCTCCCGATCGGAAAAGGCTTAGGGAAGCTGCGTACCCGGATCGCGAAAACGCCGTGCTTCTTTGGCTCAAGCGCGCACGGAGCTCCAATTTACCGATAAATGGGCCAATCCTACGAGAGAAAGCTGAAGAACTTTCCTTGCGCTTGGGAATTGAAGATTTCAAGTGCAGCGATGGCTGGATTTCTCGGTTCAAGGAACGCCACGGTCTCTCCTTCAAAACAGTGAGTGGTGAAGCAGCAGTGGTCGATGAAGCTGTTTCTTCTGACTGGCGGCAGACTATACTTCAAAGCCTGCTGCTTGAATACTCCCCGGCTGATGTATATAATGCCGACGAAATGGGGCTGTTTTTTAAGTGCCTGCCCGATCAAACCTTGTGTCGCAAGGGAGAGCGTTGCACTGGCGGAAAGCTGAGCAAAGAACGGTTAACCGTCATGGTTTGCGCCAATATGGACGGAAGTCACAAGCCAGAACTCTTCGTTGTGGGCAAGTCAAAGCGTCCCAGGTGCTTTAAAGGCGTCCGAACGCTCCCAGTTGCATATGACGGAAACACGCGAGCCTGGATGACGCAAGCTTTGTTCGAGGGTTGGCTCCGCAAACTGGATGGGCAAATGAAGCGAGCGAAAAGGAAAATTTTGCTCATTGTTGATAACTGCCCTGCGCACGGCGACGTGGAGGGGCTGGAAGCAATTCGCCTTGAATTTCTGCCTCCTAACACTACAGCTATCCTCCAGCCCCTGGATCAAGGGGTAATCAAATGCTTGAAGCTTAATTACCGGAAAACACTGCTAAAGAGAATGCTGATATGTATGGAAAATTCCATGCCTTACAGTGTCACACTACTCTCATCATTGGGCATGCTCGCCGACGCATGGAATGCTGCCACATCAGCAACAATAAGGAACTGCTTCGAGCATGCCTTCCGCATACCTGGCTGCAGCATTGCCACTTCATCTGACTGCTTGCAGACTGAGGGCGACGATGAAAGCCAAGTGCTGTCTGCTCTAAAAGCGCACAACATAGCTGCCGACCTCGACAGTTATGCAGCTACTGATGATAACCTGTGCGTGTGCAGGGAGGACACACTCGATGACTTGGTGGCAGAGGTGCTGCCAGCACAACACAGCAGTGAAAGTGAAGAAGAACCGGAAGTGGAAAATGTGACAACTGCACAGGCTTTCCAGTACATTGCTAAAGTGAGAAAATTTCTGACAACAACAGAAAACTCTCAGAATCAACTGGCAGCACTTACTGGCATCGAGAGCTTTGTGCTAAATGCGCATGTGGCAAATAAGCAGTTGACCATCCATGATTTTTTTAAAAGGTCTAGTCAGCAGTAGATAGTCAATAAACTTGTGACCATACATGCACCGCTCTCTGTTTTTGTGTAGTTAGGATCTAGAGATGCTTAAAAGTGTGAATATAGATGTCTGATCATAATTTGTGCTGTCACCTTACCCAGAGTCGCATATATGAGAACTTCTGATAATTCAAACAGCCTGATAATTCAAACAAAATCCAGGGGTCCCTTCGAGTTTGAATTAATGAAAGTCGACTGTAGTGCAGTTGCAGAGTCAAAAGTCTATGGTGCTGTCAATATAGAAAAAGAAGACTGCACTAATCATGTGGCCAAAAGACTTGGCACCGTGCTACGGAAGCTGCATGTGCCATTACCACGAGGGCAGAAAATGAAAGAGCCAGCCATTCAGAAGCTCCAAACATACTATCAGATTGCCATAACAAGCAACAGGGGGAGTGTACAGGATATGTACACTGCTGTATGGGCTTATTACTTCCACTCATGCTCTACTGACAATGCTGGCAGCCACAAGTTTTGCCCTGCAGGAACAGAGTCGTGGTGCAAACATCAACGCGCTGAAGCACTTAATGAACCTGCACCACGCCACACACCTCTCCTGACAAAAGCACCGGGATTGGCTGTTTTGCCCATTTATAAGCAGCTAACGGATGAGAAGCTCCTTGCTCGATGCATCAAAGGGAAAACCTAGAACGCATCGGAATCCCTGAACAGCAAAATTTGGCTACTTTGCCCCAAGACTAAGTTTGTCTCCCGAACGGTTGTCGAGACTGCCGCAGCTATGGCAATCCTGTGGTTCAACAAAGGTCATGCTACTTTCGAGCACATCCTGGAAGGGCTCAACATACTGCCATCTAGAGATCTAGTTACTTTCAGTGATTCCCGCGATGCGAGGCGCATCAAGAGAATGTCCGAGCGTCTGACAGCAGAAGCAAGGGCCCACCGTCGTCGTGGAGTGAAAAGGGCACGGCTAGAAGAGAGTGCTCGCAAGGACCGTGAGGGCACAACCTATGCTGCAGGACAGTTTTAGTAACTTGCAGTGCTTTTCAAAGTTCTGTTGAACATTATGGCCAAAGATTATGCATTTCTAACAACTCTGTGATAAAAAAAAAGGTTTCAAACTTTCAAATGCGTTTTTCTTCTTTTGCAGTTTTGTGTGATCTGTGCTTCTTATACACGCTAGTTCGTATACTTAGAATTGTCATACCTCTATGAAATTTTGCACATAGCATGATGAAGGCCCATAAAGTGCAAGTATCTATTCAGATTGTCAGTGCTGCTTGATTATGTTTTTCAAAAATACATAACATTGAAAGCCCTTGGCAACTAGAGCCATAGTAAATTTTTCTATTTTATTATTGTATTTCACCTTTTTACACACAAAATTTATATAGTTTTCTGCACTCTACAGTTCCAAAGGATCATAGTCAGCTATATCTGCATGCTTTATTTCAAATTTTTATAGGTCAGAATTGTTGCATAACAATGGCCATAATTTTGCAGTATCTGACCTGCAGAAAGAAAACCAAGCAATCTACATGAAAATAAATGACATATTTGAAAAGAGGAGAAAAAACTCTATTAGTATGCCAATTTGTGTTAAATTCAGACTCTTATTAAAGAAAATCCTTTTTCGAGTAGCATCTCCCCTTAAATGCTAGAGGGTCCTGTACTGTGCCATTTCAGTGCACGATAAATCAAAAGTGGTCAAAATAATGCGGAGCCTTCCGCTACAGTGTCTCTTGTGGCTTGAGTTGCTTTGGGATGTTAAACTTCGTCATGTATAGCAGCTTCCATAAAGTGAATTGCTGTTAGAACATGCGTTCCCGATATAACATTCATCAAGGAAAAAATATTTTGCTGCATAAATTTATATTTGAATGTTACAAGTAAAAGGAAAATTAGTGTAAATTGGTTGTTCATTGTATGACTGCAAATCTGCTTTGGCACGCAGTTTTATTGAAAGGTTCCACAGCAGGTTTGCGCATTGCCTAAAAACAAGTGAGACACATAGATCCATGGCGCACTTTTATACGCGAAATAACACTCTTCAAAAGAAAACTGGTATATGTTTTTGTATATTGTTTATAAGGGCTGCAACAACGTGGTAGGTATCTCTAATATATTGCCGGCAAGTATTTAGACATTGGCGATCGTACTGGTACTTGTCAATATACAGCATCACAATGCGGAGCCTTCCGCTACAGTGTCTCTCGTGGCTTGAGTTGCTTTGGGATGTTAAACTTCGTCCTGTATAGCAGCTTCCATAAAGTGAATTGCTGTTAGAACATGCGTTCCCGATATAACATTCATCAAGGAAAAAATATTTTGCTGCATGAATTTATATTTGAATGTTACATGTAAAAGGAAAATTAGTGTAAATTGGTTGTTCATTGTATGACTGCAAATCTGCTTTGGCACGCAGTTTTATTGAAAGGTTCCACAGCAGGTTTGCGCATTGCTTAAAAAACAAGTGAGACACATAGATCCATGGCGCACTTATATACGCGAAATAAAACTCTTCAAAAGAAAACTGGTATGTGTTTTTGTATATTGTTTATGAGGGCTGCAGCAACGTGATAGGTATCTCTAATATACTGCCGGCAAGTATTTAGACATTGGCGATCGTACTGGTACTTGTCAATATACAGTATCACGCATGAGAAAAGACGTGGTGTGTCCCGTAACGATTGGTATCCTTTCTTTATCTTAGTAGACTTCTCCGCAATATACCAGAATACTGCGGCGATAGAAGGGTTAGTAAGCAATCCTTTGGTCCAAAATGTCTGATGAAGCAATAATGCTCACTTGTATGATGGGAACATGTAGCCGCAAGGATTTTTGAAATAACTGCCTTAATGAGAAAGTTACAGGGTGTAGAACAGCCTGCTTGTGCTGGTTTCAATTTATTGCTCAGCCTTTTTACTCTTCTTGGCTTCCAAGAAAGGTAGGCGTTGTCCGCTGCCGGGAGTATGCCCACTTCGGCAGCATAACAAAATTTCAGTGAATATATCATCACCACACAGCCAACAACGGAGCAAGGCTTCTTCCACGTGGTGCTCATGTCGATGCGATGCTAGGGTCACCATAGTGGTGGGATATAAAGCATGGTAAATGCGTGGCCACAATCACATCACTGTGTGTTTCGTAGTGCAAAAAACCTATCAATGAAGCCGGTGCAATGTTAAGTTGCCCATGGGCAAGATTAAGTCACTGCAAAAGAGGAGGACTAGGCGGGCACAGGAGAGGGACGTGGGAATGGTCTTTTGAAATGGAGCATCTGCACGGCGCAGTGCTAGTCATAAAATATGACCACTGTGGCTGTGTGCATGAATTGTGTGAGCTTGTTTTGGAGATGTTAAAGAAAGGTCTGAGCCTGTTTACTGGCCCTTTAAAAAAGCATTCTGTGCAAGATAAACCAAGGCTAGACCATCTGTGCGTGTGTCCTCCCCCCCCCCCCTCAATGAACCCTTTTGCTGTCGCTGACATATCGGTACATTCTTCGTTATGCATTCATGTAACATTGGTCTTGCTTGGTTTTATGCACTAATAAATTGTTTTGCTCTTGTGTTTCCAGGAGAGACCCTCACGAGTTTTTTGCTTGGCCTGTAAATGACATTATTGCACCTGGCTACTCAACAATCATACACAATCCTATGGATTTTAGTACAATGAGAAAGAAGATAGATGACTGTGAATATACCTGTGTCAGTGAGTTCAGGGTAAGCACATAGGTATAAAAAGTGGCTCATATTTATTTTAGCATGCAAAATAATTACTGATTTCTATTGTTTCTATAATTTTTGTTCTCATCAAAGAATAACTTTCTTAAAAACTTTCCTTGATATACCGTAATTACCCGAATCTTACGCACATCTTTTTTCCGGCTAAGCGAGTTTATAAATCGCATGCGCGTTAGAATCGAGTACGAAAAAAAAAAATGAATACGGTCATTCTATTGCCATCGGCATTTCTAAAATGGCGTCCCCTACGTGCGTCGGCATGGCGCGTCGGCCATTTCTGCCTATGTGTTTCCCATGTACGGCACTTCGTACGTGTGTTGAGGAGTTCGTCATCTTGTAGTGCATTAGCGTCGACGGCATGGAAGGGCTGACTTCAAAAACTCGAGTGCACCACGATGCCGCTTTTAAAAGAAAAGTCATCGCGTGTGCAGAAACGGACGGAAATCGGGCCGCATCGTGGTCGTTCGGAGTTCCCGAAACGTGCGCGCGGGACTAGCGGAAACAAAAGCAGTAGATTGTCGACAAGAAAGCTTCACGCAAAGCGATAGTTATAGCGCGAGAACAAAACTACGACACAGAGACAAGAAGGACACGAAAGACCAAGCTGTGTCGTCGTTTTGTTCTTGCGCTAAAACTATCGTCATGTATATCAACTAGCCCAAGCTGCCACACTTCACGCAAAGGCTTCAGTGGACCACAGCAGGGTCGGTTTCTGCAAATTGAAGAGCTGCTCGGTGAGCATATGCTTGAGCAGCGAGCGGCACAGCGACTTGTGACGACAGAACTGCTTCAAGTGCGGGCTATGCAGTTAGCCTTAGAAAAAGGGCTAATGCGGAGCCAGTTTAATGAGAGCAGGTGCTGGCTAACTAACTTTATGAAGAGGAGAGGCTTTTCCCTCTGAAGGCGAACGGGCATGCGCCAAAAGTTGCCGGAGGAGTACGAAAAAAAGCTTCAGTTTTCAGAGGTTCGTTCTAAACTTGCGGCACAACAACGGCTCCCGGCTTGGGCAAATCGGGAATGCCGATCAGACGCCTCTTTACTTCGACATGCCTGGCACCACAACCGCCGAGAAGTACGGGGCGAAGCAAGTTCGCGTGCTGACATCGGTCCACGGTAAAACTACAGTGACGGCAATGCTCTGTTACACGTCAGATGGGCACAAGCTTCCCCCGGACCTCATATTTAAATGGAAGACGCTCTTGAAAGGAGTCGTTTTTTCGAGTGGTGTGATCGCGCGGGTCAACGAGAAAAATGGGTGCGCGTTGCAATCGATGTCTTGTTTTTTTTTTTTTTTGTCGTGGAAACCGGGTGCGCGTTACAATCGAGGGCGCGGTAGAATCGAGTAAATACGGTAGCCCGACTGTTGCCACTTCTATAATTATAAAAGCGGCAACAGTCGGGCTATATCAAGAGACCATTTGATCGCTCTTTTATATGATTACTGTGTTTACTTACATAATATACGCACCCCTAATATTTAGCCAGCTATACTAAAAAAAATATTTACTCACACAATTTGCACTCCCCGACCCGTCTGAGCCAGCTTGCCTGCATGTGTGCAAAGAGACTTTAAACTTTTGGATGCTTTAGGACTCGCCGAGCAAGTGAGTGCAGTCGTCCATAAAACACTCTGTGGGTGCGAAGTCTCTTTTTTTTAAGACTCCACCTGAACTACACCGTACTCAAACGCTCAAACCTGTTGACAGGTCATCAGAACTGCTTGGGCGTTTGCCTCCCTCTATGTCCCCATCTTTTCCGTGATAACATGCTTGTGTCACCGCGTCGCGGCATGGACAATTTTCTGCATTGGTGGATGCAGGGGGCATCACGTCAAATGTTCCCCTCTTTCTCTGCGTCCGCGCTGCAACGTAACGTACGCTTCGTTCGTTTTGGAAGTCAGGGTTTCCCCATTTGTTTGTCAGGTTTTTGCTGGTAATTTGCAATATGCTACAATAACTGTATTATGCAAGTATAGCGTGAGATTCAAGCTCGCTGTTATAGTTTGCTGAAGAAAACGCGAACGGTGCCGCTTTATAATGCGCTCGATGGGACCAAGGATGATGCACCATGGGAGGGTGGTGAGAGTGGCCGCGACTAAAATTCTCTGTTGGTCCTTATGACCAGTTTTTCGACTAGACCGCATCTGACTGGTTAAAGTGCATGAAAAATCTGTTAAGCACACATTGTTACTGCTTCTCATTAATATTATTAATATTTTACCTATTTATTTTTATATATTTTTTAAAAATTTATATTGTGTGTGTGATGGTGTGTGTACTGTGCATGATAGGACTACATACTATTGCACATTATTTAATACGTGCTCATGAAATCTCCGCATAATTTGTACACCGCCTTTTCGGAGCTCCATTATCGCCAAAAAATATGCTAATTATGCAAGTAAAAAAAAAAAAGTATTTCAGTGGCAATGTTTTGCTACTTTATATTAATGCACCCTGTTAATAACTGCATTTACAATCTTTTTTGTGGTCCTTACATTATGCATGAGAAAAGTTTCGTTGTGTCCTCAGTGCTACTGTGTCAGCTCACTTCCTTTTTCTTTATTTTTCCCTCGTCTTGTGAACAAGTTAAGGTATGCACATTATTTGAACTTCCAGTGGCTTAAGCACCTGAATGTAATTTTAGTTGATTTCTTGCAGGAAATATCACAATACCATTTTATTGCATTAACAATGGGAACAATACAGGTGGATTCTCACTGCCACCATGTTAAAGAGAATGCATATTGTCTGCTCTAAATAACTTCTCAACCATTTCTTGGTAGCTGCTCTAAAACTAAGTTTTAGGGCTCCTAACTGACCTGGACCAGCTATATCACTGCTGTGGCTGTGAAGTGTCACCTTACTGTGTAATATTAATTTGCTTGCAGGAAGACCTAAAGTTAATGTGTGATAATGCTATGACCTACAATCGACCTGACACTGTTTACTTCAAGGGTGCAAAGCGTATGTGGTACTCTGGAAACAAGCTCCTTTCCAAGGTATGTCTTGTTTTGAATAGGTTGTTGAAATGATATATGCTATGAATTCTAGCAGTACACAGACCACAACAAAGGGCCCGTAAACGACCTCCGATATTGTTTTTTTGACATTTCAAGTAGACACGTGTATCGTGTGCAGTATGCCATCGCAATCAACGATTCTACACATGGCAGCGCTACGAGCCACCGGTGTGCTACAAATTCCAAGAAACAATCCCTCCTTCTTTTCGGGCCTCTGCGTGACGTGCCGAACGAATATCTCTGACGGGCCATTCAAATATGCACACTAGCCACAAATATGCTGTCATTGGTTGAGCACTCACCAGGTGCCATACCAAATTTCAGTTAGATAGTGAAAGTTGTTGGGTGTCTGATGAACATTTTGCCACAAAAATTTTTTGAATCGGTTCATCACGAGCGGAGAAAATGGGTTTTTTGAAGCGGTGCGAAATGAGGATGAGAAGAGGCAAGCTCGAAACCCTTGCCGCTTCTCCGCATAGCCTTTGCAAGCCAAATCTCTTCCCTACTCTCTCCGGCATCCAACCAATAGGTCACGTGCGTATGACGTGCCCAAACAAGTCCAACCCCCGAGCATGCGAGCAGTGTTGCTTTGTTGACCAGCGTTATTTTGTGGTCTTCTGCCTGCTTTGTGGGATGGTTTGGAAACGCTGGCTTAGACGCGGTAGAATAGACGAGTAAAATGAGTGCGCGCACGCGTAGGAGCATTCCACGGCTGTCATCTGCTTGATGCGCTGACCGCGGAGACACAAACGCATGTGAAACGCCGACACATTAGCCCGATATCTCGTTGCAATTCACGGGAGAAAAATTGAAAAAAGACACTCACATTCCCTTATTGCATCTCATTATTTATCTAGAGCTTTATTAATCTCTTCAAGCAATAAATTACATAAACTACACATGCAGTGTTACATAATTTTCGCCATGTCACCTGCGACTGTCTGCAACATCAGAGCAGAGTCGTCTACATAGAGTACCAATGTCACTGCATTGCCATGTACGTAGGGCCATTCATACGCGCACGTCATGCCTTCATTTTCTGGGTGCGCACTGGCAGAAGGGAGGGGGAGCAGCGTTCATCTTGAAATTTGACCCATTTCCGCGGTGCGTAGCGTTGCAAATTTTGGCAGACGTGATCACGAACGCCTCGTCTATGCATTGCGCTTGTCAGCCCAAAATTGTCAAACTTGGTGAGTGGCCCTGTAAGACTTCTGGTGAGTCTGCAAGCAGCTGTCTGCGCTGCTTGTTCGTCGTGTTCCCTGCGCGCATGCGTGCGAGTCCATTGTGTCGGCGACCCTTTGAAGGCGTGCATGCAACTTGGGGGACATACCAGCACGATTCCTATAAGCACGGGCCAGCAAGGCAGCCGCGATTCACCAATAAACACGCCGTTGATGGAGTCTACGAAGGGACGGTGTCACGGTAACTGGAAGTAGACTGTGTTTCAAACAGCGCATCAGGGATGACGTATGTCACGTGAGAGTCGAAGGGGCATGGGAGGGGTGCTCGGGGATAGTGCAAAGCGGCTTTGGAAGAGGATATCATGGAGGGTAGTGAAGGAGAAAGCGATAAGAGTGATTGTCGCTGCTTCGATAATGAAACGTGTCTAACTCCGCTATTTTGGCACCGTTTCGAAAAATGCTCAAGGCTCCTTGTTTGTTGTACGCTCGTGCGCAATTTCACTACCACAACTGAATTTCAACCTCTGGGTCGTTTACAGGCCTTTTAAGCCAAATTAGACTGCTGATGGAAAAATATAAGGACGCTTGAGCTACACCTTCAAGACTAGGGTGCAATAGCTTAATCAGGCCTTGTGTGCATCATCTTCTCAACTGGTAACCTGTTTCAGTTCTCGCTGCATGCTTCAATTGGCTCGTTAGGAAACGAACAATTCAGTGCGTCACCTTGGTTGTTTCAAAGTATTATTAAATGCCTTTTGCAAGCACAGTTGTTAAAGGCTTACTATGCCATAATTACCTTATTTCCGAATCAGTGAAGGGCCTACTACACTTTCTTAGGGCAACACGTGAACCTACGCAGCTGTTTACATTGCTTATAGTTCTGCTGCTGATAATTAAATATGTCTGAGCACTTTGTAATGAATCGGCCTTTAAAACACCCACTCGTTGCTCACACATCTTTTGACGCCTGTTGCGGTTCTATGCCTCTGTCACATAATATATGATGCGTTAAAGAGCCACTCACCAGGTTTGACACTTTTGAGCTGACAAGCACAATGCGTAGACGAAGGGTTCATGATCACGTCTGCCAAAATTTGCAATGCTACGCGGCGCGGAAATGGGTCAAATTTCAAGATGAACGCTGCTCCCCCTCCCTTCTGCCAGCGCGCGCCCAGAGAATGAAGGCATGGCGTGCGCGTATGAATGGCCCTACGTACACGGCAATGCAGTGACGTTGGTCCTCTACGTAGACGACTCTGCTCTGATGTTGCTAACAGTGGCAGGTGACGTGGCGAAAATATTTAACACCACATGCGTAGTTTATTTAACTTGTTTCTTAAGAAATTAATAATATTCTATATAAATAATGAGTCACAATAAGGTAATGTGAGTGTACTTTTTTCATTTTTCTCCCGTGAATTGCAACGAGATGCGAGGCTAATGTGTTGGTATTTCGCATGCGTTTGTGTCCCCGCGGTCAGCGCATCGAGCAGACGACAGCCGTCGTATGCCCCTGCGCGTTTGCACACTCATTGTGTTAATCTATTCCACTGCGTCTAAGCCATCGTTTCCAAACCATCCTGCAGGAACAGGCAGTAAACCTCAAAACAATGCCGGTCAACAAAAACAAAACAAAACAAAAAAGGGTGTTGAACTTGTTCAAGCACGTCACGTGACCTCTTGGTCGGATGCCGGAGAGGGTAGGGAAGAGATTTGGCTTGCGAAAGCTAGGGTTTTCAGCTCGCCTCCTCTCATCCTCTTTTCGTGCCGCTTCAGAAAAGTTTTCTCAGCTCGTAATGAACCGATTAAAAAATTTTGTGGCAGAATGTTGCTCATTGGACACCCAACAACTTCTACCGTCCAACTAAAATTTGGTATGGGGCCTGGTGAGTGGCCCTTTAAAGGGGAACTCCAGTGCATTTTGGACCATACTGAGATGATGCTGCTTTCAAATAGTATTGACAGTCCTGCGACAGCTAGAGTGGTTCATTTTGCCCAGACACTCAATTTTAATCATTTTAATTAAGCAATGAACGGTAAGTCAAAACAGAAACCAAAACAGGGAGCTGCTCCATCTTCCATGGTGGGTATGGAGTGATGTCACGAAATTCGTGTCCGATGATGTCACTTAATCCGCTACGCACCGCTACCACTGGCCACGGTGTAAACACAGCTCATGTGCCTCTTCTGATGCACGAAAAGCATGTTGTTAATGTCATTCCATGCGGAATGTTGTGCCAGCTCGTCTGAACAGTTAAACGAGTTCAGCAATGATTGCAGCTACAATCCCAGCACGGAAGTGTCGCCTTTTAATTTCAACCCGCCGGCGTGTAAAGCATCAGGCATGCCCCGAATTGATCTCCTCATTACTCAATATTGTGGATGCAAGACCCAACGCCAAGGACGATTAACACGCTGTATGCCACTGATAAAACTGAACTGTGCTCATGTCGTCATAGCCTCAGGCGGGGTTTTAAAACAGTGTCCTCCTTAAGAGACCCCTCCACTTACATGACATTCATATCGGGCTTTTTCCAAAGCAGTTTCAACAAATCTTGTGCCTGTGGGGTAACACACCTGCTTGCCACGCAGCCAGCTTGGGTTAAATTCTTACTCGTACCCGGAAATTTTGATTATTAAAGACGATAGTCTTTCTTGGGAACCTTCAACGCAAAAATTTTGGTCTGCCTGTCTGTACATTTGTCTGTTGGTCCACTTTTAACGGCATTGGGTACTTGAAACGGCTGACGCTATCCGCAACGCCCACCTATGTTGCTCAAGGTTGAGCGTTCTTGCTTGTGCAATCGTCAATTAAAAAGCAATTATTGCGCATGTCTGGGGCACCATAACAACATGCATATATTCTGCATATGCATCTCTTACTAGAAAACGCATACATAAGTAATTTTAAGGACCGTAGCGCTTATCACGCTGCGCTTACCATGCAATGCTTGCACGGAACGGGGAGTGTTTCCAACGCTTTGCTAAGACGAGATGGTGGTGGCACTTACCCGTCGCCTCGCATTCTACACCTTATCATCTCTGAGATGGGCGTGCACGGCCACACGCTTTGTTTTCCAAAAGAAACTGCCAGATGGCGCTCATGTCTCACGTGTGACACGACTTGATGCGCTTGTTCGCCTCCGCTGCACGCTCGAGGCACTCTAACGCAGTGCCTCCGGAATACCATTCACCGATTTTCTTGTGCAGAACGTCAAATAAATGTTTTGTTCACTCTCTCCACACGCAAGACTATCGTCTTTCGACGACATTTGGAGATTACATGCAGATACAGGGCCAATTTTTTCATTTGTATTTTTTTTATTTTTTGGTCATGGACAGGATGATGAACAAGGGTGTCTTGAAGGGCCAGTTGGTACACGGTACTGAAAGGAACAGCGCAAAAACGAAATGGAGAAAGAATGATCAACACAACACAAGCACTGGCGAAGAACTGTCTGTAAATTTATTACACCGGGAAATACAAGTTCCTTAATTCGAACCGCAAGGGGAAGCCGCCTCAGTTCGAATTAACGAAAGTGAAGAACAACAATAGTACACTGCGAGTGCGAGTAGTGCATAACAATTTATTTTTTGAAAAAATCTGTGATCGCGGTCTGCCTTTTTTCCTTGAAGGCGACAGAATACCAATCAAGAAGGGTGTAAGGCAGGGGGACACAATTTCCCCAATGCTGTTTACCGCGTGCTTACAGGAGGTTTTCAGAAGCCTAGAATGGGAACAGTTAGGGATAAGAGTCAATGGAGAATACCTTAGTAACCTGCGCTTCGCCGATGACA